TCCTTTAACAGCAACCCATTCGGTGGATAAGAGGTTCCATTCAATTCCTCCGAGGGAATCGTATTTTAAAAAAGAGAGAGGACAAAACATGACCAGGCACAAAAGCACAAAGCTAACCACCAGCAAGCAACGATTGCGACCGATCACACTCTGATCCAACGCCACTAAAGTCAGGGCAAGGAACTCCTGAGCTCCACGCACGTCCTGCTGGACCAAGCAATCGGCCACGTGAGCCAAACACCACATGATGTATCCTGTCTCCCGGTGACCTCCAAAACCCCCAAACCTTTCTAAATAGTGGCACATCGACACCTGACCATCGACACCTGACCATCGACACCTGACCCGACAAGTCGTCTCCGAGGCGGTGGCCCTGTCAGCGCCGAAACTTTTGGGACGGGGAGACCGGGCCCTTTGGGAGGAGCAAACGGTCGCTGATGAGGAGGCTTTGCTGGCGCAAGGGCAGGAGGCTGATTCACTTGATTCCCAGCGCCTGCTTCCAAACGATCCTGGCGATGACCTGATCTATAAGCCCTGGAAACAGAGTCGCCAAGGAGGGCACTTGCTCTGACAACTGGCCGACCGTAACACGTTTTGCCTTTGCCGCCGCTTTCTTTGGCACCGGCACTAGCTCTTCCTCCTGGGCCGAATAAAACTCCAATCTCTCGGCCGTCTCCTGCTCGATCCACAACTTGGCCTGTTGGAGGAGGGCAGCCTGCTGAAGAACTATGCGAGGAGCCTCCGGCACAAAAGAATGGACCTCACAGGATCGAACACTCTCATGGCAGCAAGCGCCCCCAGCTCCAGGTCCAGAAGCAGCACTGACACGTCCAACCCGGCAGGTATTTCTTCCCCTGCCTCGTCCTCAGGGACCTAGGATGTTGGAAGGCAGGGGCGCCTCTGTCTCTGCAACAGCCTCGGCACGCAGGTCGCCCGGCAGGGCACACAAGAAGCCCCCATCTCGGGCTAACAAGGGCAGGAGCAAGGCTTGCCGCGCCTCGCCCGAGCTGCAGATACTTGCCCAAGCAAGCACACATGGCTGACCTATACCTTCCGCTCCTAGATGCAGATCGGTAATTTGCAACATCACTGACGAAGGTGAGGCAAGGGAATGCCGACCGCGTAGCAGTAGACCCTGGCTTCAGCCAGAGAAGGGAATGAGTTTCAAATGGTGTCCGAGCTTTCCAAAGGGCCGACGGCTCTCTTGAATGAAGTATACGTGCTGTAGCGGGCAGGCTCAGAAAGGTCAGCACAGCGCACCACAATGTACACAGTAGGACGCAACCCCACAGAAGGAGACGGAAAGGGTGTAGCCCACCTCCCCTCAAGCACCTTCTTAGCCCAAAGGCCAGCAGCCCACGCTCGCAAGGCTCGCTCACGCGGGCCAAGGGTGGAGGAAGAAAGTCTGGCACAGAGATCAAGGCAATGCTGATGGCACACAGGAAAGGATGCAGCAGTCTGCGCATGGGTAGGGGTGGCAGAGGCGGCACTAGGGGCAACCCTAGGGCAGATCGGGTACCATGAACCCTATCCCTAGACCTTTCTTCAAGGGCCAGAAACTGAGCGGTCAGCGGCTATGCGAAGCCTTTCCAGAGCAGAGGTACCCTCGAAGCCTAAGGGAAGCGGGCCTAGGAACCACAACACCCCTAGGAGACCTAGGGGCAAGGTGGTCAGCAGGCACAGGCAAAGCCGAAAGCAGAAAGAGGGCCTGGCGGAAAAAGACTAGAACAGTCAAGGCCCCGAGACCGAACCCCGCAACCAGGATTGCAAGCGAGTGCCCTAAGGACCCGTTACAATGGGCTGGACAGCCCAGGCCGAACCAATAATCATTGGCTCCCCAATGTAAGATCCCAAGGACCTGGGGCAATGAAGCTACCCAAGACATAACAAGCTTGAGCATGGTCGGCCATGGTCGACGTCGCACCTAGAGATCAGGGCTTGTAACGCCTGAGAGCGGGTGCTGTTGAGTGGAATCATTGCACCGTCTGAAGATAATAGCAATAATAATAATTAATAATAGTAAGAATAATCGTAGTAGGAATCATGATGATAGTAGATAATCGTAATGATATACAATCATAGTACGAATAGTACCCTGGCACGCCAAACGCCCGCACCTCGTCAAGTCTCACCCTGCAAGTGGACAATGAGCCTTGCGCACCTGAACCCTCCTGTACAATTGGAACCGGAGGAACCGTGGAACCGAACCGTACGAATCGAACCGTCTCGAACCGGTCAAAGGTTCATAGAGGGTTAGGGTCCTGACAAACCGACCCGAATGGAACCGCGGCCACCCTGGAGTTTTCAGATGTCAGAGCGGCATCCAAACCCTGGCATAGCTTTGCGTGCTACAATGATACGAGGTCGGCATCAAACGGGCGAAGTTAAGAGGCGGGTTTTGCTTACTGACTAAGGCTGCTACTGCAGCTCTCCTGTCACTCCTCCTTCTGAGCCCAGGTCTGATCGCCTACTCGAGTTTGCTGATCGGTCCTCAGTGTTCTTCTTGTACTCACAAAGCCTGCATGTCCAGTACCTCGGCAAAAATTCCAAGATCTTGACAAACGAACCACAAGCGAGCGGAAACCAACCGTGCCTCACTTTGACCTCCTGGCGCACTCACAGCACCAAGCCAAAACCAAGCAACTGCAACTGCAACTGCTTTCAACTGCTGCATTTCAGGTCTCCTTCGAGGCGGGCTGCATGGCCACACAGTCCCCGGCAAACTGGGGAATATAGGTCTTCCTATCTTTGATGTATGGTTTTTGGTATCATGCTGGGAAACCCACGCCCGACAGTTGACCAGCTGTCATGTGTGGTCCAGTTGGCGAGATGCGAGACAGATATCAGTCCAATTGGTCACTAGCATTCGCAAAGTGCCAGCACGATGCTCCCTGATTGATAATCCTGCATTCTGCATTGATTGCACACGAAGCTTGCGAGCCAGAACGTGCAGCGAAGCTGTTCGGCAGATTGCGCGCCCTGGCATTATGTGCTTCTGAGAACATACGCCAGCCTTTGCGCTCCCCTGCTAAAGAATCAAGCAAGCCCTAGAAAAAAGACAGCGGCGCTTCGCGCTCATCTAATTCAGACAGATATGCACCATGGCAGCTACTTTGTATTCTACAGGCTGTCATGCTCACACAGGTCTTGAACAAAAGCCTGCACAAGGGGACTCTGCGAATGACACACCGGAAAAGAATCGTGAACAGGCTATGAACCAGCGACTGGAGGAGTCTTTGGGGGACCCAAAGACCCAAAAGACTTCTTGGAGCTGGTAGCTTTTCAACCCAGAGCCATCCTGTAAGCCGTATACTCTCTTCTCATTCCTTGTGTACCCTATATATAAGAGTGATTAGAGAGCCAAGTCCCAACTAGAAAAGATATCTCCAAGGCTTGGTTTTTGTCCCAAACACGCAAGTGGATGTTTGCAGTGTGCAAACGCACAGCTTCCTTGCCTGGGTGTAAAGCCTTGGCCGAGAACCTGGACAGGGAAAAAAGATTGATTGCAACGTCTCACGGCTGATCTGACTGCCAACAAGGCAATCAAAACCAAGTGAAATCTAACACCCCACCGGCACCTTGACTGTCCGACCTGAGCTGCAGCATCGCCGGCTTTGGCTACTTGTTTCCACCCAGTGCATACTCACACCACACGTGAGCCTGTTCGGTTCCAGCTCTCTTAGACCACTGTCACTGAGCCAGGCGGCCAAAGGAGTCGACGACGACCGAACAAGAGAAGAAATCCTTTCAGCACGCCATCCAGCTAGCGGCAAATGAGCAGCACGCCCGCTGACGTGTTCCATGAGTGGGATAGACCACTAGCGAGGGGCAACAGAATGCTCCGTTTAATATCAGCCGTGACACCCTACATACTTTGACTGTCGAATCCTTTGTCAAATGTATGTCAAAGGCAGGTGTAATTCCGGCATCGAAAGCGGCCTTGCGCCGCAGGAAGGTGATATTGCAGATGGCTCGATAAGAATGTCACCAGACTGGGTCAGTTGCGCAAAGACTTGCCCCGAGCTGACGCACAGCATCCCAACACGAACCATAGGTCACTGACCACCAGGTTGTTTTTCTGTGGGCTGCCAGAGCGCATGGATGCACAGGCAACTGAGGAAGAACCTCAGACCCAATGCTGCTGTTCTAAGGCCAACCTCGTTCAACAAAGTTCTATCCTCAGTGCCCAACGCGAAAGTCCGCGATCTTTGGGTAGGCTTCCGAGACAAGAGCTTCCAGAACCTTCGAAATGTTCGCCACTGGAAGCGCGTGGGAAACCGCAGCCGCCATAAGCTCAAGACGCTCATGCGAAACATTCGATGCCAATCTCACCTGAACTCAGAGGCACTCCAAAACGGGTATGACCGCTCACGACAGCTTGCCATTTGCCTGCTCATGGAAATCAGTCGTGCCCCATGCGCCATCCGGCACAGTCAAGGAGGGATGCACCTAGGTAACGCGGACAACTCGTCTCGACCATCTGAAGAGAAGATACGCATTGCTGCCAGCACGCGAGCCCTGCATCAATAGCAGACGGGCCCTGGTGCAAACTTGGGTGGGAGTTGCTGGCGAACGCCTTTCGGTCCCTGGCCTCTCCCCACGACAGATCCAAGGACGGCCATACCTGAACAAGATGGCAATGGCACTAGGGCATTTGTGCTACACTGTGACTAAGCACATCAACATCACATCATGGTAACTGGGGTACGTGCAAGGCCCTTCCCCGAGCATAGCCGCAGCTTTGGAGGCCTGGCATGAGCCCGAACACGATTCCTTGAAGCTCAAATCAGCAGGCGAATCTTTTCATAACTCCCAGCAGATTGGCGTAAGGTATCATTGGCTAAGCGTGGCCAGCGTGGTCAGTCGAGCACGAGATGACTACAGGCTCCAACAGCCCATTGCGAAGCGAAGAAGCGAAGGATGGGCAAAACCCACCGAATGATCATTCCGAAACGTGCCAGCTTGGCGCCGAATCACAGGATTCGAGTCCAGGGCTACCAACATGCGCCTCTGGTGACACCCGAGGACTTTGTCGGAACTCTTCACATCTCTTGGCTTCTGGCCTGGTCGGCCCGCTTCGCGATGGGCTCGGGTTGGTCTGCCATTTGAGGCATCGCCCAGGTTGGCATGTGCATGGTGTGCATGTCAGGTGCCTCGCATGCCCGGCATGCCCGGTATTTAGTTCTGCGGCCCAGCATCACAACTCAAGTCCCTGACCAAGGCATTCGACGTCGGCGCATGCCTCATCTGCTGCCAGCAGAATGTTGGGTAGTCAAGAATTAAGCGGTCCGGAATTGAGCGAACTTTCGGCCCAACGGAATAGTAAAAAGGGCATGGAATAGAGCCAACTTGTATCCCATACGGAAGAATAACAAAGTAGAAGCGGAATAATGGCTTGATTCGAACTGGAAACCACAAAGACAGAACAATTGCGCACTTTGCCCAGAAACCAGTTCCATTCCGGATTCCAGATGTCGTCTCTGCCAGCAACCATGAAGTTCTTGTTAAACGCTTAGTCCAAAAACCTGGCAAATCATCCCTGCCGAGGAGTAGTATGCCTGGCCCAGCAGAACGCGATAATGGCCTACTTAAAGAGGGTACGGAAAAGTCTGGTCCATGCCAGGCCTGGGCCCTAATCTATGAAATTTAAGTTGCATTCGATTTGGGGTGAGGCAAAACCGAAGAGCTCTCAGCACAAAGCGCCCACAAGACTCCTGACATTTCAATCCCCCCAAAATAACTTTTCTCAAACTTAATCGGAGGACCTCTTGCTATACAGAATCGCCTGGTTACTAGTTGTGTTGAGGGGCGGGGAGGGGGAGGGGGAGGTGGGGGAACAGTAAGGTTTTTGAGCATGCTGTGCAGCTTTGACACGGCCCCGTCCCGCGTCCGTGCGGAGTGCTGAGAACATCAGGAGCTGCCACTTCACGAACTTCCGCAAGTCTACCTCCAAAGAACCATGCCATGATGCTGGGAGACCCACAGAAGAGAGCTGCATGTGCTTGTAAGACCTCCATCTCCGCAGCGGCTCCGATTGGGCGAACTCTGCCGAGGGCTGTCGGGACCCAAAGCTGTCTCGGGCGTCCTTAGCTACATCACCGCCATTCGTGCCAATTACTTCTCATCACCTCAGTCCGAGAATCTTCGTCGGGCTTGGCAATCTGGCTCGGCCAGAGAGGTTGTTCGCTGCAGGTTCCTGGCAATATGCTGTCAACACCAACATGGGATAATTTCGAAGAGAAAGTAACTGTAAACGGAAAATTCTCAGAAAATGCAACCGAAATGGCAGCGCAGTCCTGACTGTCACCTCGACAGGGAACCTTCACTGCGACTGCAAAAGGGCTCTTCACTTGGCGAGAACCTGCAAAAGTAATCGTTGCATGGGAGAAGTGCACTGAGAGCAACGACATAGAGCACCGCGGCCTTGCAGCTTCTCAGAGTGAACTGCTCGTGGAGGACCTCAGAGCTGGACTCTGAGCCAGGCATCTCCGTTTGATGCGCGTCTCAGAGTTTTAGGCTCGGCCGGCGCACAGGCAAAACAACCCGGGCCTGTCATCAACGCAGAGTTCCAGCTTCGAATGTTGCAAGAGTGCGGCGACCCCGCCGTTACATTGAGGCACAAACGGGACGAGGATGTTGAAACTTGGCCACTCCTCTCACCGTAGTGGTCCTTTTTCCAAAGTCCTGGCACACTGGAGCATTCTGAGCGTAAGCCATACAAACCGGCTGCAATCTCCAGAACACCCTTCCGAGCAAAATCTCCCTTAAATCTGTCAACCTGCAGTGCTTTTAAAAATAGCCCGCAACACAATTGAGTTCCAGGCTACTCGACTGAACCAAATTATATCCACCTCCACCAATCGTGAAACAGGGCCATGTAATAGGGTCTGCTTTTGACAACTACCCTGCTACCATCGAGAGTTCTGGTGTTTCCAGAACGCCTGTTGCTCTGTGAAACCCCAAACCCTAAACCGTGTAAGTTCCGGCCAGTCGAGCCATCTTGATTCGTTGCCAATGTCTGACCCGGAACTTTTGCGAGACAAATTGAGCCAGAGAAGACACAGTCACAGCCCTCTATGGGAAACCCGTGGTTGCTACCGTGCGACGGTTTCCACGAAATTCTCAAGTTACACCTAGAACCCGCACTTCAATAATCCTAAGATTCTGCTCCTGAATCCTGAACCCTCAGCCCCAAACAATGGAACTAACCCCCGAGACCCTGCAACACCTTGACACAACACCATCATACATGAGTTACAACTGGCGATGCAAAGGGACAATGTGAATCATGCAGCCATACGTTGAGGAGGCCTGCAAGGCTCTCTTACATCTCAGCGTCGCACCAGCCGGGCGCACGCAGAGGCGCTCATGCACAAATACCTTTAAAAGTCTGAAGCTCGTGCTGTGGGTACTCAGGAGTTCTTTGAAGGCTGGAATATCATCCATCTCAGATGTATAAACTACAGCAAGGACACTGTTTAAGAAACCACTGGCTTAAGAAATTGAGCTCTTCACCAGCTGCCAAAATACATTTCCTTGCAAAAATGACACCCAAGCCAAAATCAAGAGATCTGACCTCGCGCTGCCCTCGGGGCCGCCCGCTCTTTAGTTCTTAGCTTGGGCCCTTTCAAGACTAATAGAAGGCCATGTGGAGGACCCTGGAGCATCCCCAAATTAAGAAAATTGAGCTTTTCATTTAACTTGGGCTCTGGCCTCCAACTAAATTGGGGGGCCTCTGAGGACTTGAGAGGCTCTTTGGAAGCCTTTGGAAAATTTTGTGGGAAATTGAGATTCGTTTAGGGGTCCCCCAAGGCTTGTGCACATGGCATTCTGGGGACCTCTCAAGTTCTCAGAGGCCGCTTGTTTGGTTGGGCAGGCAATCTCCAAACGACCTTCTGCGGACACCTGTGATGCAGAGCATCAAAGGTGTCCGGAATGCTCAGTTGGCAGTGCGCACAAATGCCAAAAGGCTTGGTGGCTAGTATCTCGCCTGTATCATCCTTGTTCTTGGTGCATGCAGGCAGGATTGTTCAGCCTTGGCCTCAGACACGCTTCAAAGGCCAAATCAAGAAATCAAGGGGCTCAATTTCGCAAATCTAAGAAGTTGCGAGGCTCATGTTCTTAATTTGGGCGTGTTGAGTTGGAGCCGAATTCTAGAAGCCGAGGGTACCCTTAAGAGATCACCAAAAAAATCGTGAACAAAAAACAGGCGCCTCATGATTTAGTAATCGAGGTTCCTCTCAGCTAAGTAGAGATTTCTTAAACGGCGCTGTCGCTGTATGTTCACAGACGCTTCATCAGAATAATGACACTCCCACAACATCTATACCATGCAAGCACTGTTAGTTCCGGAGTATGCTGCGACCCTCTTGCGCCAAGGGCAGTACCAACACTTTTCGTACTGTTTTCAGCGGTTCATGAGACTACGAGGAGAACTTCATGACATGGACGAGGCATTGTGAAAGATCAAGCAGGAAAGAAACGCAGTTGTAACTTTCTGGTTCTTTTTTGGACCCGGAAACATGAAACAGTCGGGGCAGAAGCTCCTGACGGCGTTTTCTGCGTCTGCAACGAAGCCTCCAACTCTTGGTTTCGACGTCGCCTCCAAGGACGTCGAACCCGGAAGGGCAAAGGCGGGGGCACAATTCTGAAGGCCGTGACAGACGCCGCACTGCCACAAAATCATGGAAGAAAAAAACCAGACCAGGGAAGAATCGTCCTGGCTGTGGAACGGCAGTGGCCAAACGAATCCTGGCCACTGCTTCTGGCAGCAGCATGAGTCTGAAGAGCCCGAGGCTTCTCGATACTGAAAGGCTGAATGCAAATCTAAGAACGGTCAGATAATGAGAATGGTAAGGACAGGAAGGTAACCAAGGCACACTAATGCTTGTCTTGGTGCCGAGCGTTGAGCGGCTCAAGGCTAAGCAACACTGCCTTCATCCTTCTTGGCGGTGCGCTAGGGAATAGAAGGCCCTTGGCAGGATTATGGCATGGATCTGACGAGGAAGACAAGCCCATCAGCCGAACGTTGCTCAGCATTCGCACGGATTCTTAAGTGTTGAAGACAGACATTGCTACGTGAGCGTCCAGGTCTGCTTCCTTGCAGGAGTACTCGACATTGAGTCTAGGTCGTCCACTCCGACAACCTGCCTAGCTACAAGCCCAACCATGTGACTGCCATCACTTCTACGTCATCAGATTATGGGCGAAGCAGCCGCACTGAGTCGCAAGCTTTTCACAGCGTAGCGGAGAGCGGAATCAAGCATCAATGACAGTTAACAGCAGACAGCACACAAAACATCCAAAAGCATTGCCAAACTGTGCACAAGCTGGGTTAACCTACGCTCAGAACAACTGGGCCGGCTTTGCCCGGCAGTCTGTCGCTGGAGAAGGCGGCGGCGGTGAGCATGGTTTGGCCTCAGCAATTTCTCACGATGGCTTACATCAAATAGCTATGTGCTTCGGCTGCCAGGTGCCAAAGTGTTGCAGAACAGCATACAGCAATATACAGCATGGAGCCTCTCCATGGAGTCGAGGAGACTGGCTTCAAGGATTGAACATTTGGTGCGGTGCTCAGGGGAACTGTCTAAAATGGCCGTTTTTAGTTGTTACAGGCACTGCAGCAGCTAAGCAGCAGATCTTCATTAACAAAAACTGGTCGCCAAACATAACCTTGCGGGTGGTGAAGAAAGTGCCCCTGCGTTTCGGGGAGGTTGGTGGCAGCTGTTGCTGGATTAATTTCCTTGGCTTTGGGGGGGTTCGCATGCTCTGCGCGTGTGATGGCTGTCCGCAGACTGACAACGCTCTTCATGTACACAGTCAGTTGTGTGCCTGATCTTGTTCCACGCTTCAACACATTGAATCATGCTGGCTCTGGACACTAAGGAAACATGCTAGGTTGAGTGCCTGGAAAAGAAACCCCATGGTAACACTTACTGCTTTCCGCTCGCCAGAAGCAGCACTTCTCAAGTGCACTGCACTCACCAAACCTTCTGACAACGTCTGACAAGATTCACTTCTTGGCATGAAACCGTTCACTCTGGGCATCTAGCTTGCTGAACGGCCTTGTCCTGTACCGGTGGAGGAGATGCCGTCCGTCTGAAAGCTGCTTCATACGAATTCTCGGCCGGCCGCCTGGGTGAGCGGGATGAAGGCCTGTCCTGTTGGTC